TTTTTTTACAGCCACTGCGATATAATTAAAAACAAAACAAAACCCAACTCACTTCCACTGAGTTGATTCCGACTTACAGCAACTCTGTAGGACAGAGAACTGTCCCTGTGGGTTTTCCAGACTGGGAATCTTTAGGGGAATAGCAAGCCTCCTCTTTCTCCCATGGAGTGGCTGGTAAGTCTGAACTGCTGACATCATGGTTAGCAGGCCCATGTAGTGTAACAAAGGAACCCCTCGAAGGCTCCTCTCCATTTATTGTTGAGGACATTGAGGAAAATAGTGATGACGTGCCAAACCCACCAAGTGAATGGCTGGTTTTCTATTGCCTAAGGTCCAGACTCATTCTGCGACACTGCAGAGATGGAGACAGGCAGCAGAAGAGAGGGTGAGATAGAGGAAGGGAAGAGAAGAGGTATAGAGAAGGAACAAAGAAGATTAATAGGGGAGTCTTTTGAGAAGCAACCAGCAGCTATTTGACTCTCTACAACCAAGGAGTCCTGGTGGCATAGTGGTTATACGTTGGACTGAGAACTGCAAGGTTGGCAGTTTGAAACCACCAGCTGCTGCTCAGGAGAATCTATTCCCATAAAGAGTTAAAGTCTCAGAAACTCAAAGGGGGCAATTCTACCCTGTCCAATAGGGTCGCTATGAGTCGGCATCCACCCACTCCATGGCAGTGTGTTGAGACAACCACGGAAAGGACCAGTTGAAGAGCGACCACAAGGAGGCGAACTTTCCTGTTATCCCTTTGACTCAGGAGATGGAGTCTGGTGCTATTGTCCTGAGAGCCACCATTCTTTCTGTGATGTATTGGATTATCAATCTGGACTCTCAGCCTGTGACTATAATTTCATTTTGGAGGGAGTTCTCTGCTATACTAATGGAGAGGATTAAAGGAGGCTTAAGTCCTGACCTTAGTGGAGGGTGTGAACCTGGTCACACTTTTTGCTTCCTTGGATGGACGGTCTTGCTAAAGCTGCCCTGGTGGAGTAGTGGTTGCGTGTTGGGCTGCTAACATCAAGGTCAGTGGTTTAAGACCACCAGTCACTCCGTGGGAGAAAGACAAGACTTTGATCTTTTGTAAAGAATTACAGTCTCGGAATCCCACGGGGGCAGCTCTACCCTGTTCTGTGTCAGAATGGACTAGATGAGAGTGAACGTGTTCTATGGTCTGTTAAAGGACAAAAGTCACACCTCCATCAAAGCTGTTTCTCTGTGGAAAACAGTGTCTTGGACACAGAGAGAGGAGTGCATTTGAGGTCTCAGTTTGAAGTGGTCGAGGCAGAGACCAGAGGCACGATTCCAACTCACGGCCATCCTATCAGTCAGGGTCTTCAAATCTTGACAAGACTAAAAAGGCTCATCTTTCTCCCTCAGAGCTACTGGTGGTTTGGAACTACTGACCTTGAGGTTAGTAGCCCAGTAACCCATTATGCTACCCAAAGCAGGACCAGCTCAGGTGATTGCTTGGGCTATTGAATCTTCATCTAGTCCCCACCGGTCCCCATTGCTGAAGACGTGGAACTTCCCCAAAGACACTAGATTCTTTGATTCCTAAGTCTAGGCCTTCAAAGGAATCTGATGTCATTTTGGTCTTTGGGATTTTCACCTACAAGGTCAGAAACCTTGGTGGTGCAGTGGTTAAAGTGCTCAGCTGCAAAGGAATTCTGCAAACCAACTGCTTTCTGGGAGAAAGATATGGCTCGCTGCTTCCGTGAAGACCACAGTTTGGGAAACCTTGTGGAGCAGACAGCAAAGGGTTTGGTTTTGAGACCTACAGGGGATACAGCCTATTGTCTTAGGAGACACTTCCCACAGAAGACACCCTGGCGGTTATCAGTTTCAAAGGCCCACTTAGAGACTAGGCAGCTCTTTCTCTCCTCCTGCTGGCCTGCTGCCTCCTGCCTCGACATACACATGTTGGAACGCACATGTCCCACGTGTGCACAGCACAGGTTTCTGCAGGCTGGAACAGGGTCCAGCCTCCTCCAGGAAGCGCTATCTGCCTGGAGATGTCAGAGCAACTCTAATGTGGCATGACTCAGGCCCACATGTCCCCGTGTTTGAATTTCTCCCATTAGGGCAGGTGCACTGATCTTACTTACGGAAAATATGTGCTCTCCCCGCCTCCACACACGTATACCTTCTCCTGGCTCCAATTTCAGAAGAGATTACCAAACCGAACTCACTACAGAAGGTTCTACCACCGATTTCTGGGCGTTCTCTCCTGCTGGCTGCCCAGCTATCCCCCCTCCCCCTCAGATTTCTGTCTGGATATTTAGCCCTTACTTCGATTTTCTCAGCGCTTGGTGTTATCGAACTAAAATTAGAGCCCAGAATTCATCAGCCTTACGGATACAACACTGCAATGATGCCTTTCCAGTTTAATTTTCTCGCGCCCAATCCTTTCTCTTCATTGCAAAATTAAGCGTTCTTTATTGTTTCTTTCTAAGGACCTGCTACATAACCTCGCCGTTAATATCATCTAAAATGGCGTGGCCTGCCTTCCGCTGAGAAAGCTGCCACGAAGCGCCATGGTGCGGAAGGATGAACCCTTGCTTTGGAAAGAGCAGAGAACAGAAAGACGCGCGAGAGCCCCAGTCCGTGCTGGAACCCCTGGTTGTACGACGGATGTGTGGACGTGGAGCCCATGAAACGGCTTATACCAAGGTCTGGCTAGGAAGTGGCTCGTGAGCTCTTGGTTGATGTTCTCTGATGACTTTGACAATTGTTTTTTCTTAAAACAAGGATAGAAAAGAACAGGAAAAAGACAACCCTGACCTAGTAAGGCTATTTTCAGAGTGCTGGAATCATCTGGAACAGAGACAGTTTTAAAGAAAAGGAACTGGGATTCCGTCCACTGATTTGCATATGCCTTGACAGGGTACCGTGGAGTGGCTGCCTTGAAGTCGGTCACCCACGGACGGAGAACAGCAGGTCCGGTGGTTAGTTACGCAGTCACAAAGACTCGATTCGAGTCCCACATGCCAGATGCACCCCTTGGCATGCATCGACAGCCCCCCCCACTTGGATGGATGCCATCACAGATAATAGAGAGCATGCGCCAAGCCATCCCGCTACAGTCGCTCAGCTTCCAAAGCATGCGTGCGCCCCAGGCCGTGAGTCTGTCCTCTGGGACCCCTCCTGGGCGGCGGGGACCCCAGCAGCCGAGGCCGGAAGATGAGGGAGGAGCCGGACGCAGCGCCAAAGGCCCCGGGAGGCAGGCAGGCTGCCTCTCTCCGAATGCTCCTCTCTGGAGAACAGAAATCTCTTTGCGGGAACAGTCCCCTAAGGATCGAATGCGCTCCTGGCTTGCTGGCTTTCTAATTGTGTTTGCACTTCGTTTTGCTGGAACTTGTGCGTAAGCCAATCAGGCAACGGACAGCCATGGCTTCAAAACCATTCTCGGATGAAGCCTCAGCGTGGCAGGGGCTCCTGCATAGTTCTGGTGCCCCCACACTTTGCTAGGCAGGGAGGGCTTTTACGAATTTTTCAATGAAAGGCTATTTTAGTGGGCAGAGGGGACTGGATTCCTGCTTGGTGGCGCGCAGCAGGCCCGAGGATGCTCGAACAGCCCCCGGCACTCCAGTGCGGGCCCTGTGCTGACGTTGAACAGAGTAGCAGTAGACTTGGTGCCCAAGCGCCGAGCCTTTTCCACTTGGATACAGTGTGATTGTGCTGAATCCACCGAAGTCGCGTCCCGGGCTCCTCTCTCATCTCCCCCCCTTCAGCCTCCAAGCCAACTGCGCCCCTCTTCTTGAGTCAAGCAAATGGTCTCACACTCAGAACCCCGTGTTTCCTGCTCTCCAGCCCCATGCGTTGCCCGTACATCAAACCACAGCGCCCTTTAAATTTGAAAACTCACCTTCAAGCCCACCACCTCCTCCAAGCAGCCTCCCCTGATTAAATGTGGATGAAGGAACCTCTGAAGCATGACTGACAAACTCCCACGAAACAAGAACACACACATACACCACACCCCAAAACAAACACAGACACTCACAAAAAGAGAAAATTACACATTCTCTACTTTCAGATTGTATGCTCCTAAAGGGGGCAAGGAGATCAGTTTTATAGTCAGTTAATCGTTTCAGACACCGAGGTCTTGTCAACATTCTCAGGGAGTGCACAGCAAAATCACTTAGCTAGGTCTGTTTTCTCCGACAGATCCTCTCTTTTCTTCCAAACCTCCTTCCTTTCCTTCTCAAGTCTTCTGAATGCATAACTAAAGGGAACGGCTATCACCAGGGGTGGCATAGTGGGGGAAGCATTGGGTGGCTAACTGCAAGGTGGGCAGTTCAAACCCACCTGCCGCTTTGCTGGAGAGGAGACTGCTGCTCGGGTAAAGACCTGCAGTCTCAGGAATCCTGTGGAGCGGGTCTGCTCCGTCCTGTAGGATCACTGTGGTCGGAACTGGCTGCACAGGAGTGGGCTGAGTGAGGTGAGGCAGTCCTCGCAATAACCTGGGCTCCTACACGGCATGATGGGGGAAGAGCTCCTAGCGAGGTCTGGCAGTGCCTTAACCAGAAGGCCTGAATGGGCTTTTTAGGTCCATCATTTCTTGGGCAAGCATGTGGGCTGGGCTAGGGCAGAGGGCTAACGCCTTCTAGCGGAAGCTCTGCTGGAAGCCCACGGGCCAAGGCTGTTTGCTGAGCAGATGATATCCAGTTTCAAATCAAGGGGCAGGAGAGCATCGGGCCCCACAGGAGAGCACAGGACCCCGGGCAGAGCACTGGGTCGGTGGCAATCACATCAGGAAATTAAAATAGAGTCACTCATCAATGGTGCCCTCGCAGGTCGGTGTCAGTGCCACGTGTGGAGAGGTGAGGGACTCGTGGCAAAAATGACCAGAACAAGGAGAAACACAGGATGGAAAGGCAGTAGCTGGCAATTAGAACATGGCCATCAAACACCAGCGCCACAGAAGCTTTCTAGCTACAAAGCCACGGTGTGCAACCCTGAAGCCAGACAGCATGGATTGTGTGGTTATAAAGACGTACCTTCAACTGCAGAACTCAGTTTTATGACACCTTGAATAGAAACAGAAAGGGGCGGTTATAGAATGGACTCAGATACCCTCTCCAGTCTTCTCATAACACACATGCTTCCGAGCTGGATTCTTTTTTTGTGACATTTCAAGAATTTCACTAAGCAAATGTCAATTTCAAAAAGAAACACTTTTCGGGCCCTTGATGAAGTCTCATGGGTGGCTTCATGTTACCACTAAAACCATGTGGGATCTGACATGTTTGGGGACGAGACAGAGGTCAAGGATGCCCGAGTAGCTATTTCTGCTGGGCCGTGGCTGGATACATTCACACCCTGGGGTACCAGCATCTTGTAGCTCCTACGCCTATAGAGATAGATCTCTATCAAATGATAGAGATCATTTGATAGCTGTTGGGAAGTGTTCCTGCTGACATCTGTCTCCACTTGTCACCGATTCTGATTCATAATGACCTCAGTGTCTTAGAGCAGAAGTGCGCCACACAAGGTTTTCAAGGACTGATTGTTCAGAACTAGGTAGCCAGGCCTTTCCTCCAAGTGACTCTAGGTGGAATCGAATCTTTCACTTGCCAGTCAAGCATGTGAGTTGTTGCATCATTAAGGATCTGGTGATGCACTTCCCCCCAAACCGTCATCCACGGTTCTCAACATCCACAAGGCCACCATGGATCGTGATGGGCATGATGGCAGCTGGTGGTGAAATACGGACCATGGTGTGAACCAGCAGCGTTCTTCTCTGGGGTGGTTTTGGCACAAGGCATTTAACAAGGTCGAGCGTGTCCAATTTCCCCACGGCCTGCAGGCCAGAATGTGGAAGGATCACACCTGCTCATGGAGATCTTAACACTACCCAGGAATGGAGAGCCATGTGCCCTTGGTGAGTTTATAGGTGAAAAGGGAAAAGTCACATAAGTTAGCCCCGATGGAATATTTTAATGTAAATAAGCTATGGTTGTGCAACAAAAGTAAAACCAATCGAACACCTCCCAAAGTGTGATAGCAGGGCCACTTTAGGCTGATCAGAAAATCTTCAGTTTCATTGGGGTATCTAGCTGAAATTCGGGTTCCCTTTTAAAATGGGGTTGTTTCAAATTACAAATGAAACAAAAGCCTTTCAATACAAGTAAGCAAAATTGGTCTTAGCAGGACTAGCACTCGTTTCAACTGATTATGCTCACAAAGAGACACGTTTGTTTTTGAGTGTCTTCCCGCAAAAGCCGCTTTCTAAGTTATCCATTGAATTTCACCTTTCCTGCAGAACTGGTGATGTCTGGGAAATGTGTAAGAATGAATTCTCCAGGGGAACAGTGCACATATCGTTACTGTAACATAAATGTATGGACATGCTGATGATACAGTGTCCCGATGAAAGATGTCTAGCACACAATTAGTAAAATGTACAGTACTCTTAATTATAAATTCTGTATAGCCAATTGGTTCTCATGGAATGCTCTTGTTGATTGACTTTGGCCAATTTATGGTTGCGACTCCACTCTAATTTGGCAACATCGTACACTGAGTTGCATCCCAATCTGCTATTTTCCCAATAAACTGTCATTCAATCAAATGTGATATAATATTAAAGAATTTTCACCTTCGTACAGATTATATTAATCAAATTAAAACCTTTCAGCGTCCACATTATGTCAATACCTACACATGGCCAATACTTCATGCTGTCAGTTGATGTCACTGAACATGGAGGCGGGACGCGAGAAAAAGTCACACCAGTAGGCAGTCCTCCCGCCATCCGCCTGCAGTTCATGCAAACAACCCCAAAGGTAGAAATGACTCGAGAAGGTAGCCAAAGACTCAGAAAGCAAGAAACCTTAAGCACCACATTGTTTTGCATCTAATTCATTTACATAAACAATGTACACACATCTGAAGCACACAAAGGGCATAGGAGACCAACAAGCTAGGGGATTGCATGGTTTATAAAAATTGAAAACATTTGTTTCTCATGTAATTAATTGGAAGTTTTTTGTTTTTTTTTAATTAATTGGAAGCTTTAAGATAGGTTAGTTTGTAATAATGGTTGTGCTTAACAAGTGTCCCCATATTCCTGAAACAATGTAACCATTCTTGCAAACTAGCATAATCCAACTCTAGCACATTGTTGTCAGAACTGATACTACTTTCCACTGGGCCCGGAGAATAAAATATTGAATTCCAGAATGCTTCCTGGGATACTTGCAAAAGGGATTATAATTCTATTAGAATTCAATTGAACAAGCCATCTGCTAGTAAGTTTACCATTTATTCTAACTTTATCAGTAATTGAAAAAAATACATAATAAAGCACTTTGGAAATAGCAGTTATTAATAATCAACTAGGAATACGACCTAAGTGGATTTGGCATTCTTTTGATCAGGTAACTAAATCAAGAGGTAAAGTTTCATAAACGTAGTTGGCGTATTAAGCAGTGATCCCAAGCTGTAGACGCTCTAATAGGAAACCAAGTCAGAATAGAAATTCTTCATCAATATTGATTTTTATCAATAAAGAGTGTGAACACATGCCATTGAAATGAAAAGCTAACCATTAACGTCCAGACCATTCTGGACGGAGAGGAGGGTGGTGGTGCAGTGGTGCCCAGCAGTGTAGTTACTGTGTTAGAACAAGAAGTAAATGAAACAACAAACAAAAGGCTGGCCCTAGAACCCCAATGATAAACATTTTAATAAAAAAACATTAGTGATTCATTAGCTCTAGAGAAGCTTATTATTATTTTAAATCAGGCATTTCCCCATAGGAGAGTAGAGGCTTTTTTATTGTAAAATATATTGTATCGTGAGAATCTAGAATTACCTAGATCATAATGGGAGTAGAAAGCCCATCTTTCTCCTGCGGAGTGGCTGGTGGTTTCAAACTGTGGATTTTGAGGTTAGCTCTCTATCTGTAATGCGAATGTTGATATTATACCAAAACTGCAGTAGGGGATCGTCATCGTTTATATTAAAATTTGAAGATTTAAGAAATGATTGCTGTTGATATTAAAAAGCTGCACATATGGAAGATAAACAAAGGGCCATCTGACTGAGAAACAACAAAGCCCACCTGGAAGAAGCACACCAGCCTGTAAGATGACAAGGCGGTGAAGGGGTCAGGTATCAGGCATCAAAGACAAAAAAAAAAAAATCATAGCATTGTGAATGAGGGGGAGTGTAGAGTGGGGACCCAGGGCCCATCCGGGGGGAAATTGGACATCCCCTTGCAGAAGGGCTGCGGGGAGGAGAGGAGCAAATCAGAGTGCAGTGTAGTAACGATGAAATATGCAAATTTTCCTCTAGTTCTTAAATACTTCCTCCACCCCACTATCATGATCCCAATTCTACCTTACATATCTGGCTGGACCGGAGGATGTGCACTGGCACAGATAGGAACTGGAAACACAGTGAACCCAGGACAGATGAACACCCCCAGGACCAGTGGAGAGAATGGCGATGGCGGGAGGGTGGAGGGAAGGAGAGGGAGAAAGGGGGAACAGAGGACAAGGTCTACATGTGGCCTCCTCCCTGGGGGACGGACAGCGGAGAAGTGGGTGAGGGAGATGTTGGATGGGGTAAGATATGATAAAATAATAATGATTTATAAATTATCAGGGGTTTGCGGGGAGGGGGGAGAGGGGAAGGAGGGGAAAAATGAGCTGACATCAAGGGCTCAAGTGGAAAGCGGGTGTTGTAAGAATGATGAAGTCAACATATGTACTAATGTGCTGGACACAAATGATGTATGTACAGATTGTGATGAGTTGTATGAGCCCCTAATAAAATGATTATTTAATTAAAAAAAAAGCTGCACATAGCAGTGCTGACTTCCCAGGCACAGACATAGTAGACAGTGTGTGGTGAGTGGTAGACAAGGCACTGCTTTGAATTCAACGTCAGCCATAGTGTGTGTGTGCACACACACACACACACACACACACACACACACACACACACACGGGATCCCAGCACTGCCCTCTCATCATTCCTCTTAGTCTGTAGAAGTATTTGAAAACAGAAAAAAGAAAAAGAAAATGAACGTTGTCTCCTCACAGTATCTTCAGTGCAGCAGCCTCCCTAAGCAGTAGGGAATGCATGCAGACCAAGTCCATTGTCACCCTGAACCTCGGAGCCAGTCACTAACCAGGTATTCCCTCTGCAGGGAACCTCCATTTCCAAAACCCATTCGTCCATTTTCACCTACGGTTAAATTAAATCGATCTGAAATTATTTATAGGCAGAAGGGTCAAATTAAAAGAGTTCCTGCTGAAGTGTGGCTAACTAAGGCTCACTAAAACTTCCAATGACATCTTCATGATTTTGAAATAAAAACAAAATATTAACCTTGACCTACAATACCCTTTATGACTGCTAGCTGACTATTTGTTCTACTTCATCTGATGTGACTGTTTCCCTCGTTCCGGGGCCTCCACCACTTTTCTCACTGTGCTTTGCAAACGCCAGTCCCTTGCTGCCTCAGGGCTGGTGCAACAGCTTCCTCGGGCTTAAATGCACTTCCGTAGACCTGCAAGCTCTCCCTACAGCTAGAATGTTAAAATGTGGAAGGCATTCCCAAGAAGTACCTTTATCTAGTACTTGGGGGTAATATTATACCCTGAATGGACTTCAAAGAATATTAGCTGATAGATTTTATATCCAAATATCTCCAGTGCCTGCATTTCTCTCGTCTCCATTGCTATTACCCTAGGTTAAACAATCACAGCAATGTTCACACAAATCTGTAAGATAAGGTGGCTCTCTATGGGAAGAAGAGTTAAAAAGAAATAATCCATTTTTAATATCCTGTATTAATTCCCATGCTGCAACTGGCATGACCTTCTCAATAGGCTGATCCAATTATAGGAGCCCTGGTAGCGTAGTGGTTATGAGTTGGGCAGCTAGTCTTAAAATCCATAGTTTGAAACCACCAGCCACTGCGGGAGACAGATGGGCTTTCTACTCCCATTATCAGTTAGTCTTCGAAATTCACAGGGGGCAGTTCTACCCTGTCCTATAGACTTGTTATGAGTTT